ATCTAATGAATAAATAAAATAAAAATAAAATAAAGAAATAAATAAATAAGCGCTCAATCACGAAGATGGTGGTCCAGCTGAGGTGTCGTCTTACTGGGCTGCCTCAGCGAGCACATTCTTGCGAAGCTTTCGATCGCAGCCTTGAATGTATAAGCGGTATGTGATAAAGTGACCATAAGGGCGTGGCCGTGGCCGCGGCGAGCGACGCCGCCCCGACGGACGAGTTGTCCTGCCCAGCCGTTTGAATTGGAGTGTGGGTGGGACGGAAAAACCGACACCGCTCGTTTGGAGTCTTGTATCCTCTTGAATTCACATGCCGTGCATCATAGCACGATACGCAGCGGCAATGGCGAGAGAAATTGCGATTGTTGTGTGGGAATCCTGTACTCCCTTTTCTGGCCTGGAAGAACCTGCTCCTATAGGCTGTTTTCGTCTAGCTGTTAGGCTGTTCTCGTCTAGCTGAAAAGGTTGCACATATCGCTGGATTTCTACACATATCGTCCTGGGGCGTTGTCTGCGCAACCGTACTGGACGTACTCTCCAGAAGTAAACATGTGGGAAAACTCACAGAACTGCCAGATGCTCACAGCTGCAAAGCTCAGAATGAAACACCCTCAACCTCAGCATCCGCAGTATCATGAGGTTGTTATCAGTCAGTGTTGATACGAGTTCATTATCACAGGTTCCCACTTGTCATGCATGTTTGTTTTCGTTCTTCACCATAGCCCTATATTGTCACGAGGGTGCTGCCCAGAGAGCACTCGCGCATGTTCGGGTCCTGTCCGAAGCACTGTCTCTACAACAACACTTTTGTTGCAGGTCTATTCTAGCAAAAATTCGCTCTTCGCGCATTTTACTCTGAAACTTTTTTTTGGCAGCAGTAAGAGCGTTTCCTAGTTGTAAAGCCCTCATTCACTCCCAGAAACTTTGGAAGCCTTTCAGTACACTTCTTTCCACTTGTGATAAGAAGCACTCGAAGCCTAGGCGTCGATAAACTACTTTAGAGAATGCGACACGCACTCTTCCATATGCGGTCCTGTTCGCACAGACCTGCAGCGCCTAGCAGTTCGGATATGTGGAATATAGGCCTAACCAGTCGGATCGCTCGGCGACGCCGAGCTCTCCTCTTTCACTTTAATCCGGCTTCGCGGAGCTGGCCTGGCTCCCTTAGGAGAGGGAGGGAAGGTCTATTTGGTCTAAAATAATTTTTTAGTAGTTGATTTTTCTTGTTTCAGGGGAGCTGTCGAGAGGGAGAGGGTCGTATTTTTTATTATTAGGAGGGGGATCGTATATCGGAAGTCGAAGCCCGCCTTAGTGGAGATGAAAATGCTACGTTGGACGGCCGGTGTCACCCGTATGGATCGGATTTGCAACGATGACATACGCAAGAAGTTTGGCGTAGCTTCCATAGTTGATAAAATGCGAGAATCTCGTCTCCGATGGTATGGCCACGTACTTCGCGCGAAGGCGGACACCGTCTGCAAAACTGGTCTCCAGCTCGAGGTGCTCGGCAAACGACCGAGAGGACGCCCCAGGCAACGTTGGCTTGACACGCTGCACGCGGATTCAAAGATAGTTGGTGCTCACCCTGATCAGGCATTCGACCGGAATAAATGGCGTAACAAAATTAGGAGAGCGGACCCTGCCACAGAGCGGACAGAACGCATGAGAAGAAGAAGACAGAAGAGATCGTATCGGCTTCTGGCCTTTGAGAAGAGGTGTGAGTTTTGTGGATTTTCCTCTGTTTTCATGCTGGTAGGTATTGGGGAAAATGAAGAAAATGGTACGTAGGATAGAGGGGGGGGTCGTATCAATGCCCTAAAGAAAAGGGGACGACCAACATTACTAAGCGTAATGATGTGATGCAAAATGCAATGCGTATAACGCATGGCAGTGGTAACGTCTACCTACTTCGACTCTTCAGTGAAACAACCGGCACGTTTCTCCATCGGTCCGCATCATGAGTTCTTATCACTGTCTGTCAGCCATAACCGACGTCCCCACCTCCCTTCTATATCACTTGCTGGAATCGATGCCCGTATGGCGCTGTGTCGTTATGGATATGTGGCCTTCCATTCTGCATACTCTTCAACCTTCCTCTGGAGACTGAATATCTCACTGGCTTTTTAGAACGGCGCTATGATATCTGATGACGCAACTCCATCCTAACGCCTCTTTTCCCAATCGCAGCCGGTCGGGAGAAGGCCTATGGAATTCACGTCACTTCAGAACAGCTGCGAAACTTCTTGCATGGAGTCACCCATGGACAGCTACCTGGGGACCAGCACTCCTGATATGAAGACCTCAGCATCGAGCTCTGACGACCCGCGCGCATGGTCCCAAGATATCATCTTCCACCACAGTCGCCAAATAGGCGCGAGTTGCATGCATGGACGCAGAAGTTCCTAGGAAACGAAGAACAGATCGATATTTTCTTCGTGACCCGGAAGTGAACACTGACTGTTACATCGAACAGCTCGAGGAGAATATCCTGCCTTCATGTCGTCGCCTGTACCATCTTGGAAACTTCGTACTGCTACAGGATTGGGTGCCAGCACATGGAATCGAAGGGCGTTGGAAAAACTTCGCCTACTTGGAATCGAAGGGCGTTGAGTACCTGAAGAAGACGGAATATCCAAGTGTGTCACCTGACCTAAACCCCCTCGATTACCGGGTTCGGGCGGAGCTCAACAGGGTGGTCTACAGTGGCGGAGAAATCAACGACCTCGCTGAACTCAGGCACCGAATCACGGTCGCGTGGCAGAATCTCTCGATGGCGCTCGTCCAGAAGGCTGTGGCGGAGTTTCGTGATCTTGTGTAGTGTGTTGTTGCATTCAATGGTCAAAATGTCCAATCAGATCAATAAAGTGTAATGTACTTCGCATTGGAAGTTGAGGAAGAAAAATGCCTTTTTTTTCTTTTTGTCCCCCCTGTACAGGGTACATAAAGGTAATGGACGAGAGCCTGCTTCTGCTTATCGAAGAACATCTTGGGTATCTTCCGCCCTGGTACTCGTATCCACGTCTTCTATCTGGGCTGCGTAAACTTTACTGATATGTGACTCGGCCAAAGTGTCTTTTTTCCCCTCCCAACCTGTATATGTATAGTAGGATGGGTCTCTAAAATCGTCAATTTTGCTTACATTATTTAGAAGCCGATTGGGAGTTCATCCGCGGTCTGTTGATGTATGTCGTCTATGGGGGACGTATAGAAAACACATTCGACAGTCAAGTGCTTGAATCCTACCTTCTCACGCTGTTCAATCCCGAAAAAGTCACCGGTAGAACCGGTCAAACCCTTGCGAAGGGTGTGGATCTACTAGCTGTCGACAACATCAAGGTAACGAATTTGTCATTATTTATTCCAGTAAATAATGGAACTAGGGAAGCTATTTGGGAAAATGAGTGCCTCATATAGTCATTTACGCACATTTACATCTATTTGTTCGTCCATTCATTTTTTTAATTTACTGGGTATGTTATGGTGTATTTGCTCCATTCTAATTCTGTGTCGTTAAGCCGCTGAACTTCTGTACGTTTCCGCAGCCCCTTACTCATCCTGTCACCATCTGAGGAAAGTTTAGCGCTTCCCGCATTCTGCAGGCAGACGTGCCACTTTTGAAACTCAAAGTGCATTGCACAGCAGAGGCTGATAGGATACGTGACACCTCGGTGCCGATCCGCCGTGTCTGCCGTCGGCCGTCACGTTGTGATGATCACAAACTGAGGAGGGGGGAAGTCGTATTCATCGCGCAGGGAGGGGGGAGTGGTCGTATTTGGACTGTAACGATTTTTATTGGATAGTTTGATTTTTCTGATTGTCACGGACGCTATAAAGGCGGGGAAGGGGGCTCTTGCTTGGTTCCTTGTTAGAACATGGGACTGACAAGATCTATACAACTATATTACGTGAATAGTCTAAAATGATAATTACAATACGTGACGGCATTCCCCCCCCCCCCCTTCCCGGCTCGAAGCCGAAATTTTTGAGGAAGAACCGCATAATTTCAGGAAAGGAAATAAAAAAGTCGGTAACAAGTTGGAAAATCTAGTGCGTAAGTAGTATGGTTACGGGGGTCGTATTTCTCGGATCGATCACACGCGATGACGTAGCCGCCGTGCCGTGTGGGCGTGGCCGCGCTCTCACGACCATGTCTACACGCCTTATCGAACGCGCTGCCTGTCTAGGCCCTCTCACTACTGGTTTATCTCTGTCGCTGGGAAAACGTTTCACTGCGGGACTTTAGCATCGACGCATGCTGCACATTGAGGATGCGCGGGAAGACTTAGAAAAAACACCCTTTGAATCCCCGTTCGCATGCACTTTTGATCGGAGAAAGTTTTACGCTACTGCAGCTGTTGACCCATCCATCTCGTGCAGGTAAGGGCCGACAGCCTGTCTTTAAATCGCATGCTGACTTCTATTTGCCGCGCGCGACAAAAATGCGTGACGATCGATAGTTACTGGACGTGACGCAAGACGTTTTAATAAGCTATTCGTAACTTATTTAGTGAGGTATCATTGAGACACCTTTCACCCCTCAATTCGCTCAATAACCCATATTTGCCTCTGACACACCTACTGCGGCACATTGAGCGGGAACGGGTTGTGTCTTCCGCGTTGATTCGCCGAGGAGATGAAAAGGTGTGGGCCAATGAGGGGTGCAATAGTGTACCGCTTCCGCCCCCACAAATGCGATGCCTCTGATATGTCCCAATTCCAGGATATTCAACAGTTTATAACATCATCCATTCCTTCGGAAGATCAACCATATCTCTTCGGTCTTCCGATGAACATCCGATTCTCATGGCAGCTGACAGAGGCAGAAGACACGATAGCCAGAATGCGAATAGCAGGTGACATTACTATTGCGAACTCGATCATGATCATATCAAGCACGCAACTAAGCTAATGTAGGTTAGAGACAAGACAATCGTAATATGCCGCTCTGGGGGTGAGTTAAGGACGCCGAAAGCAAGAGACGAGTTAGTCATCAGTATTGGCCTTTTGAATCGAAATGTCAAACGGATGCAGAAAAAGATCATGTTAATCAGCGTAGAGCCTTGTCTCCGCTTGCAGCCGACATGAGTTTTCCCTTGTTTAATGACGAAGCGATTGCGAAATTTTGCCGCGCGACTTGCCACACGATGAAGCAACGGGCCGGGGTATTTGCCTTAAGACGCCCTCTCGCAATTAAGTTCGGTCCAATATTGACTAAAAAAATTGAAGTTGACACGATGAACAATACGGCCCTCAATTTAACGGGGTGGGGTGGTAATTATCAGGTTATAAAGCTCTCAGATGAGTCCATCACCAATTAGCCGATCCTCTAAAGCGATGAATGGCTTGATTGGGTTTGGCTTGGCTTGTGCGAGAGTCGATCTAGCATTCAACCCCTCACTATACCGCCGCCCACATTATCATTACATCGGTACAAGAACTCTGCCCAAAATGTTGGGAGCTGGTGAAAACAAATGTAATTTATCGCCTTCGTCACGCACGGTAAGTGCGGCCCAATCCGCCGCGAAACTGTGCGATCTGCAGCAGTTTGACTTGGTTGGGAGAAGCCAAGCCCTAAATGCATGGAATTCAGATAAAACCAGACCCCACCATGCGGATCATATTTTACGCTGGTCCTTTCGAAACCCAAAGCTGCGGGCCGGGCAAAGACAGTCTCTGTGCGACGGAGCGGAAGGGTCGCTTGCCCACGCCCAACCACGTCCGGCACTGTCACGATATTCTTGTCACGTACCCGAAAATCCCCCCCGTCCACTTTTAGAAACCTTATTTTTAGTAGATCGGCAACCCTTGATAGCAGGTTTTAAGGCACACGCACACTGTTTAAGTCTACTCTGGAGTAAGGTAAACGAACGCAAGTCGATGGGCTGAAGCCTGACACTCCGCTTTATAACACCTGTGGAAAACGTATGTCAAGACGGTGACCTGCATAATAGACAGGTAATTTTTCCATAATTCCGATCCCTTAGTGGTAACTGACGATATTACTGACAATACAGACTTTCTAAGCAGTGAATTGCAGATCCCTGCCGTCAAGGAATCGTCCGATCCTATAATGGCAGAAATGACAATTCCTGTCGTCTGGAGGGTTATTCATGCCCTCAAGCTGGATAAGTTTTGACGGTTTAGCTGGGTTTGTTATGAAGATGATTTCTCTGTACTTCTCTCATTCTTTTCTGGACTTCAACTGCCGCACAAAACTTATGAAAAAGAGTGTGTGCCAGGAGGTCCAAGTTACAGCGACGCGTAGAGACTATTATATTAGCCGCGCCCTTGGCATTGTTTCGTTTCCTCTCCAGCCCGTATTACACACGTCCTATACGAAATGCTACTTGCAACGCCGCGGTACCGGCACTCGAATCTCTAAACAATATCCCATTCAAAAACTATAGTGCTGCTCATGAAGACATTCCCTACAATTTTTAACTCATTCGGTCATGTCTTTTCACTATCATTTGATCATCTTCCTCCCATACCTGCGTGCGCTACCAGTGGATTCATATCCAGCGCTTGCCCAAATTTCGTCATTGGACATTACTCCTCCTCCTTGTGACCATGAGATTCGGACGCAACAAGGAAAACACGATTGCTGAGCCTGCCCCGCCCAGTCACGACCAGCGTGCGGCTATGCCTATGTCGGCCTACATCCAATTCCCGGTTTCCAATAGCCCATCTCTTGTTGGATCCGCAACAGAATAACAATACACTGGAAATTACCTATCTTATCGCCGGATCGGCTTACCTCACTCCCGCCAGCGCGCTATAGAGGCAAGACGACGTGTCACTTCTAAGGCTCCTCCAGCCTGCCGGACATTCCTGGCCTCTCAGCTCTTGCTAAAGTAAAATGAGTGACAGTCTCACCCAAATGACGAGCGCATGACGGCCTCCTGGAGTACCACCCCCACCGCACATAACGCTTTAATCGCTGCCACTTATTCTTGACATAGACAAGAGTGATCAACTTAACCAGGAAAACAGAGGAAATACTGGCGTTTTCATTCGAACTATCAGAGCCTAAGATGGTGTGTGGTATAGCCAGAGACCAGAGCAGCACCCCTATTCCTCTGACAATGGGCGTCAGCCAAATTCACTGCCATAGCTGTCCGTTGATAGTAGTGCAGATAACCAAAAATGGACCAGTGGCCCAGCTTGCTGTGCCAAACAGAATGGGCAGTAGCCCATCCTTGCTGCCAGCTGCTCCCCCCTAATTACACTCCATAGCTTAGCTCACAATTTCCTACAACCGCTTCTCCCTCCCTCAAGTCAATATGCTGAGCTTTATCGGGATAGTGGCAGAATTCTACAATTTCAGGTGCAACGGATTCATGCAAGTCTCAGCCTCGTCAATAAGACCATTCGAGGAACAGTCACACCTGATAAGTCTACCCTTGAAGTAATCAAATCTCTTCAGCTGCACCAGGTTGGCTAACAGAAGTCCATTCGTATATTTATTCTGCGCAAGGATTTCTACTAGTTTCTATTGTACTGCCTCATGGAGAGGTGTTCAGTACCTAAAGTGCTGTATTAGTCCCCGGCAAGCTACGTCACGCAAACTTCCCGTTCATAGCTCGCCAGCACGTGGCGGAACGCTGATTGCGAAACATGGGGCGAAACAGAGACCATCCACCGAGCCCGACCGCGTCCAGTCGTGCGGCGTGCTTATCCCATGCAAACGAAGCGTATGGGGGTCCATTCGCCGCTACTATACGTCCGCCGCGCGTATAGTACGGATGTGATGCGCGGCAAATAATGTTGCATCTAGCCACGCCCCTATCAGTGCGGGCATTATTGACGACTGTCTTGTTACATCACGCCCTTAATTCCAACAGGTGAACCTGAGGACGCAACAGTTGTGGGGAAAGAGCTGCCTTGCCCATGCTCCCGTCCATGTCATTTCACGCGCCCTTTCGTCTGGGGAGGGGGGCCGTACAGGAGTGCGCTGGTGGCGCCGCCGCTCGGGACTAACTGCACACATGATCCGCTGCTTGTCAAGCGGTTCGAGTAGAATGGTTGCGTGTAGTATTTGAATTCAATTAATAATGGGTTTAAAACCGGTCTAGTAGAGACATCCAGACCAGCTGCAAAGATTTATCGGTCCGCGTCAACGCCGATCCCAGCGGGGCAACTTGTCAGCTTTGATCTACAAGGTATATGGTAGTTTTTTTGTAAACATTGCAGCGAGATTATTAAATTTCATTCGGTGATCTGAACAATGTGGGCCATCTGATAGGGATAGATACCCGTTAATTATTCTTGGTCCAGCAGGACAAAATTGTTGCTGAGTTGTGCAGGCGTCAGTGAGGATACGCAAGTCGCATCCGCCCGTCATTTGTTACATAATTGCACAATCTATCTTTTGCTGTCGTAACGGATAACGGACAATGTGAATTTATACATGCACACCACTCATGTTTGAGCTGGTAGGTCATTCGAGAGGCTCACGTAGTTTCGCAGGGAAAGGGGAGCGCCATCAAGGTCTTGGTCATGTTTCTTGTCTGACGAAGACGTTGATTCGTCTCAGTTCCCTCTCCTTCCCCTCCCCCTCCATTCATGCTAACTTTAGCCTTTGAAGAACGCGTAAGAATAGGAACAAAAATAACGCTGAGGACGTGTCTCAGTCTCCCGAACACGCTTGTCCACCCCTTTCGCAATCGACTTAGTGCCCCCTTTTTCCAGGCGGATTCTCCTTTCTACAAAGCCGGAAAATGAACAATTTTTAGGCAAAGTCAGTACAGGAGCTTGTAGCGAATCCTGACAAAAACGATTTCCGTAAGACGCCGGTCGACTTCTCGAAACTTTTCCGACCAGGGCGACTACTTAACGCCCTCCGTCAAGTGACAGCAAGGTGAATTGTAGCGGAGGAACGAAGTAAAATTGGAAGTAACTTGCCTTTTTACAGATCAAGCGGCTGTACAATGGATATGCTGCGACTCTCTTCGGCATGGGATGCATCACTCATCGCGAATGATATTTCGATCCAAGTTCAGGTTGGGCATTAAGCACAATCGTAGATCAGATTCATGGGTATCGAAATGTATGGAGCCTTATTCCGCAACATAGGACGGTGTCTGGCCCAGTCTTGTACGTCGTTCATTGGTATGTCCTTCTCTTCATTTACATAGAAAGAAGGGGCACACCAATGAGACAAGCGCAGTGGCAGACCCGATCCCGCCCCACGATCAACGTCGACTAGGCATACCATCTGTGGCCGTCGCGACGAAGACACCTTAGGTCCAACGCTTCCGATTCACCACTACTCCTCCGTCCGAGTGGACGTGTCTCTAAACTCTAGTGCTCTTTGCATCTACGCTTTAGCGCTTCCGGCGCGGAGACAGAGCGCTACACTCGCACGGTCTGGATGTGTCTCGTTTATCATGTTGTCAGGTAAGTGTTATGACCCGTCTTCCAGGCAGGGCAACTCCTCTCTTCCATGTGTCCGGATCACTTAATCCGGGCATTTCATGGAAGACACCTGTTGAGAGGCAGGAACACCGGAAGCAGCGTTGACGGTCTTATGTATTCCGTCAGTTGCGGAAACTCAGTAGTCCACTTCTCATCGTCAGAATCAGTGGCCAGAAATTGTCCCCATTCTGCGAGTTTTTACCCGTTTCTTTCCATTCTTGATTTTCTTTTCATGCCCCGCTCGATTTTCCTAAATTTTTCCAACTTTCTAATACACCACTTTTTCCAGTTTTCTGGATTTAGGGAAGGGCTAACGAGCAAATACGACCCCCCCATCACTTTACAGCGTCCGTGAAGCAAGAAAAACCAACTATCAAAAAAATTTCTCAGACCAGATACGACCCCCTACCCTCTGCGACCGAATACGAACCCCCGTTGGGGATTTCCCAACGTACTGTGTGGATTGGTTCCGACTGAGCCGCCTATTAGCACCTTTCCAACTGTCTTGATAGAACTTCCGTACATTTTGCCACACGTCTCAACCATTTAGTCGTGCTCAGTTCACCGCATAACAATACAGGAAAGGATGTTAGACATGTCGGACTCACAAAGTAACTAACAGGAGCTATTTTCAGGGTATCCTCCTACAAGGAGCGCTATTTGATGGGAAACTTCGCGATACTGTAGCCAGCAGTCCGCCTGTGACCAATGCTCCACAACTAACTCTCGGATGGACGAAAATTGTAAGTGAAATTGTGAAGAGGAGAGAGAGAGAGAGGTACTAAACAGGGTACAGCATTGATGGAAGATTCCCATCCAGCGCCGGCATGGCGGGAACTAGGGAGAGGGATCTTGCCATGCCGGCCGGCACCGCAGAACTACTATACAATTACTATTTCTGATAGTTGAAGTTAGCAGCGGAATGGTGACAACCCCCCCCCCCTCCCCTCGACAACAGTTTTTCTTTTGTGGAAGAAGTTGTTCACAGTATATTGGTTTGGCAGTCGTTTATTGTTGACTGCTCGGTGTGTCGGCTAGTGGTAGAATGCTCACAAAAAGGGGCGTCCCTCAAACAACAGACGGGGTTGCGCCTGGTCTCTAATCTGTTCACCAAGGGTCATAAATACATTACCAGGGGCCTAAGTCACATTCACTTAATATCCTCGCTGTGTCTAGATGACACTTATAATCGATGGAGGTTCTGGAGGCATAGGCACTCCAGAACATGAAGTGCTCTTAATCCTGGGAATTAGGAGAAAGTGGTGGGAAGTTGGGAAAACTTAGGAAGATAGTAAGTAGAATATGGTAGGAGTCTTATCAGATGGAAGTGGAGGCGTACTGACGCCGCCATTTCACAAGTCACAATGTTGTACCCTGGTACCAAAGATTCAGCTGCTCGTGACGCAACCCACACACTGGTGCTCTATATTGTCATGATCTCTGCACACGATAGGGCCTGTGAGGGGAATGAGTTGAAGGCAGAACAACCCGTAAGGGTTCATGAATAGCATCGTTGATGGAAAACCCACCTTGGCAGCGCTCCAATCCACCCCTTGTCACACGCCCTATCGTTTGGTGAAATTGTAACATTACAAGAACTTTTCTTCAGGGTTCTCCAGCACAGTACAAGGAGAACGAGTCTGTGGCTGTACCACTCTACACTGACGTCACACGTAGCGAATACATCGCTACCGTAATAATGCCATGTTCGGACGTTCATAAATGGAATATCGCCGCTGTGGCATTGTTCTTGAGATAGATCCTGATTATTGAGTCTGTGAAAGTATAGCTAGCGAGTAACTTTGCTCTTCAAGGCAGTTGGCACGATAAATCCCTACGACGAGTAGGAATACGTCCTGGCAGGACAGAATTCCGCGCCCCTGAGCAGGCGCTGCGTAGCGCTTTTCCAAGGAATGTACCCTTATAAAGCCCTATTAAGCTACAACATGCGAATGGACGACCGTACCTGGTGCTCGTATTGCTTCATTTGCGAAGTAAAATATGAAGCGAAGGGATTGATATGAAGCGGCTGCGGTGCTGCATGGATATATGAGTACATACGTGCAGCCGTATCTACCGTAGCGGTTATTGGCAAGATGCCTACGGAAAACTCGTCCGAAATTGCTTTTCGAGTCATTAAGAACGAAGGCTTTTCTTCGCAGGTTTTTGACCGTTTCACTTCGTTTTTTCGCCATTTTCCCCA